TTGAACTGGCACACGGATGTCGTAGGGTTCCCAAAACTAGAGTTTTTGCGTAAACCTCTAGAATTGGATCAATATGTTTACCCGTTCCGTGTGGCTATTGGATGTGTCTCTTGGTATGTGAGCCATCACTGGAAGATTGACAATCTGCGATGAAGCACCGTCACCAAGCAGTTGAGACCATTTAGATGATATTTGATGTAACTATATGACATTGATCTGACGTTGAACCGAAAACAAACACTGTCAACATTATAGGATCGTAACATAGGAATAAGATGAAGCGGTGTTCTTTTCAACTGCCCTTTTGCCGTTTTTTTTCATAGTTAAATTATATACTGTATATATATTAACAATTAACATATATATAGAATATATATAATTATATATATATAAATATTCACTATGGATCTGTTTCCTCCTGAAGATGGACTTCTTCCAGAGGATCTCACCAGCCAAACATCTGGCATTCTCCACTGCGGGTCTCCGCACATGAGAACCTTCGCTACCGTCCATTAGAACGCTCCACACCCACTGGTCACTGGTCGAGGCGCGGACCCCGCTGGCGAACTAGGTCTGGGAGGTCGAACTAGACTTGGAGGTGTCCTCTTCCTCTCCAAGAATAGAAACACACTGGATGCCTCCAGCCCAGGAAACAGCTCAAACCTTCGAGATGAATATATTTTGTTGATGTTTGGGGAAGGTATGAGTGTGGGTAAAGGTTCAATCCATATGTCCTCACAGCATCTGTTTTCCTTTACATGCTTGCCCCATGCTTGCCCCAATCAACTGGAGGGTCTGAGTTGTTTCTCTAGGACATGTCTGGTGAAGCTTCGGAATCCGGAATCATGAGGTGAGGGAGGCCGCACACTCTTCCCAAGAAGCAATACTCCAAAATATGAGTGCAAAACATAGACACCTGGAAGGGGGTCCCCTCTTGGAAGACCAGGAGGATAGTTCCATTGGGCAATTTTTGCCAACACATTACGAGTTATTACCAGTCAATGCAGAGAGCAAGTTACAGGTACTAGTAGGTAGAAACCAGCGCCAGTTCCGCCACGATGCTCCCATAGTGTCCAGTAATCTGAGACCCAGCACACGAACCAATCCGAAAGAGTGTTTTTTGATGTTTTCTCTTTTTCTTAGCTTCGATGCTTTGAAGGGTCTTCGGGTCAGTCTTCAGCTTCAACCTGCCAGCATTTGCCAGCGAATTCAAAGGAATCAAGCCTCAGAGCAGAGCCCAAAAATGGCTGGGTTCTTCATCAACATGACACATCACATGTTGATGGGGAGTGCCCCCTGGGTGCTTATCGAAAGTCGCCTTTATTCCAAACCCACACCGTCCTCCAATAGTCCCTCGCCGAACGACGTCGACTGAACTCATTCCCAGGCCTTGCGCTGGTGGACGTCGGTCTCCAGATGTTCTTCATTCCCGGAGGCGGTCGGATGTTCTCCCCGGGGAGACGGAGGGGAAGATGATGGTCTCCTGGGAGATCTCCGGTGCATCACCAAAGATCACCAAGGACCTCCCTCGGGAGAGATTTGTGATTCTATTTGGGCTTCAATCTGACAGAGGGTCTCCAAATTGGTGTCACGCACATCACCAAACACCAATGTCGGTGTCACAGAATTGTTGCAAACTGGTGGCACAAGCCAGTGGTTTACCCCATAGCGAAGTCAAAAGTCAACGATGTGACTACGTGAACTGATTGATAATCATAGACCCTATATTGTGTGGTATCAGTTACAAGTCAACCATAATATTCTGGTTCAACCAGTGGTTCGACCATATATGAATACCACGTATTGAGTGCTTCCACCGGATCCTTCGTCGGCGAACGCAGGGCTTCCTCTTGGTGGCAAAGGATCGGGGCTCGGCCGGGATGCCGCGCGGCCTGTCGCACGGTGGCAGGGGATGTGATGCCGCGGAGTGAAGAACATGTTGAATGAACCACCTTCGGGCCAGTCATGAAATGTACGAATGTGTTGTGGGTGTGCAAGAAGAGCCTAAAAGAGCCTAAGATCATTAAGATCTACAAATGATCTAACGAACCAACAAGGATCAAGATCTTGGTATAGTATGTAATACAGCTGCTGCTACCTTGGCTGTTAGTAGATACTCTAGCACCCCGCAACATAATAGGAACCAGGAGTTTGAGCAGGGTCTGAGTAAAAGCACCAGTCACGAGGTTCCGTTTAACTCTTGTTGGAGAATGGCACCATATAGTACCAAACTAATAGATAAAACAATCATCAGGCATAATTGCATGCTATTTTCGGGTGTATGTTCAATGGTTTGAGGAAAACGATGATGGCTCAAGAACAAGATCATGCACCCAAACAGTTCGCCTTGTACTTCTCGCACATGGAGCAGCCTGACCGGTACAACGATCGGGGAGCGGATTTGGGGCCCCCAACGACGGGTTTGCTGATGGTATGCATAGCATGGGATCGGGGATCACATGGGATCGCAGAACTCTTTTACATCGGTTCCAAGCAACGGAAAAACGCTTTGACAAGAGGAAAGACCTTCATGTTTGAGCAAAGGTTCATCTCACATGTTCATTTGTAACACTCATGGAACAACAACAATGAAAAAAAAGTGATCTTAACCAAATATCTAACCATTCAAGTGTCGCTGTTGTTTTCCTGGGCTTTGCATCAACTGGCTAACTAAGGTGTTGGTTGCCAAACGTTCTGTGTCTTACGTAGATCCCTAATTCCGTTGGGACAGAGGTGCCTTTATGGTGCTCCCGGTGCTCCAGGGCTCCAGCCAGGTCCATATTCTCCCTAAGTAGCGTAAGTAGTGTCCAGGTAGGGCATTAGAAAGGCCACAACCCCTCGAAAGCAACCCCTTCCACCCCCCATGGTGCCCCTTTCTGAAGAGCAAACCCCCGTCCATCTGACTCCCAATCCATCTCCAAGATGTGCTCCGCCATAGCTGTTGCTGGTTGAACCACAGGAGAAGAGGAAGACAACGAAGACGGGCACGTTCGCCTGGCATGTTCGCCGAGCCTGGTGAGATTTCCAAGCAGTGGGTGCACGGCCAAGACCCTCAACAGAACATAATGAGCCAGTTCCTTATTGACTCGACAGTTTTTGGATAGCCCTGGCCCCAGCGTTAGAAACATAATTAATCAAGGCACATAAGTTGACATTGTGACATAGGTGTCATCCAGCATGGAAGATACAGATGTATGATGCAGATAACTTCCCAACTTTCCGTAGCCATGGCTCAAAAATAGGGCACCATCCAAACCCACTGATCAAAGGAAAATAGTCTCAACCCGGCCTGTGGGTGAGTGCTTGAGCAGACCGGGTCTAGAACTGAACATTGGGTACCGGAGAGACCTGGTGTTAGTTCCGGGAACCACTCTGTACTCTATACCAGCAGTCACAAAGGGGTGCTTAATGGAGGTTAGGGGTGCCCAGAACATCCACTCACTTGGGGACTAAAAACCACCTCGTCTTGTGACTCCTGGTATGTCAGATTCTAGTTCTAGTCTTTACCCACACAGCACAGGCAAGTTGCAGCAAGCGTGCTGAAGACACGGCTTGGCGAGATGTGGCCCAAAACTGTCGAAGACGGTCTTTCTGAATTTATGATTTAGATAGAAGACGGAGCACTTGATCGAGTCTCTACTGAATAAACATGAATAAACTACATGACCATTGAAAGCTCATGTTCCTTTCCCTGTTCTTTTTGGTTTGACCAGGCTATGGGGCTATGGGGACTCCTAGAACGTCATGAAGCATCATCAAACTCAAAACCCTTCGAACTTCGCACATGATGAAAATCAACTGTCCTAACAACCATTGACTAACCTTCAAAGTCATTTGTTTGCACTTCATGTTTTTTTTTCAGCGTGATTGATTCCAATGCTGTTGACATGTGAACTCAACAATAGGCAAGGAATTGCACACAGATCAAGAGTTGGAACATGACAGCAGAGTGTTGACTTCCCCCCAAGGGAGGCCGGGCTACCAGTTTGCTTGGTGAAGCAAAGTGGTACCCCCCTGCAACAATCATGGACGTGGACCACCCCCTCTTGGTAGACGAAAGTCGTTGTTGAAAGGGCCACTTCCATGATTGTTTCAGGGAGAGTGCTTACTCACAACAACGAACCATCTGAGAGGAGGAGAACGAGGGTTTCTCACAGTCTTTTCACCGCCAGGGGCGCACGGTTCCCAGTCCACAGGCGCCTGCGGGCACGCGTGCGATGGCACGTGGGTGACCCGTGGGAGGTGGCCAGGTGGTGAAGGCCACGGAAAACCACAGCATGTGCCAAACAGACTCCGATCTGCGTTCCTTAAAGCACAAAGCAAGCAAATTATTACATGAAACATGTGATATTGAGATGCTACAGATGTTTAATTATATAGATTATCATTATTTTGTTGTGGTTTTGGTCAGATGATCGGATCGGAGTGGGGAACCTCAGACAAGACATGGGCCTTCGTTCAGTTGCAGGTGTTGCTGGCATGTTTCACTATGGCAATTTGTGTTCAGTTGTTTCGTAAGATCTTCTTTCACACCTGCCATGGTCTGGGTCCCAAGACATGTCCCTGAAAGCATCAGACACCAGCGACAGCTAGCTGTGAACAGTGAATTCACTGAAGTAGAAGATGCGAACTATTTGACGTTCTGAGAACAAATGTTCTGCGAGTCAATTGTTCTGAGAAGTGAGAAGAGAATCCAATCAGCATGATGTTTGGAGTTCGTGTTTGTCACAGTGGTCGGCGATCTACATAACCAACCTAAAGCCAAGAACCAAATCCTGCAACAATTTTCAGAGAGTTCAAGTTGATGTTTGAGTTCCCAGGTCTCTACACCTGTCACGGTGAACAATAGCCGTGGCTCAGGTGGACAATAGCCGTTTCTATGATCTCCTGGGCGTGAAGAAAGACGCCTCTCCGGCAGAGATCAAGAAGGCGCGTCGCTGCGACAATGGGTCTTTACTGAAATCATTTTCTGGTTGTTTCGTTAGTCTCTCCGCGAATTTATGCGTCCATTAACGTTCGCGTCCGATCGTTCTCCGACGGCTGCGAGACATGCTTCCAAAGCATGGCCATGGCTCTCTCGCCGCTTCGGCGCTGTCCGACCTGCTATATGTGTCCTTCGCATCGAAAGGGGAGGTGATCCATCTTCACTCCCCACCACGATCGAACCCGATCCCCGGCACCGACCTGCTGAGCAGCACCAGCCAGCTTCTCTGGTTCAGGCCTATCACAAGCAGGCTCGAGAGAAGCATCCGGACAAGGGTGGAGACCCCGATGAGTTCAAGGAAGTGAATCGAGCCTTCGAGGTGCGGTCGAGAGAGACGGAGACAGAGGAAGGCCTATGCATGGAGAAACCTCCCAAAGTGCACCGGGTCCGGTTCTGTGGTGTTTGGTTGGGGCGCTACCACTAGGAGGAGGTTTCTTTTGAAAGGTCCGAAGCTGAATGGGCAGGAGCTGGTTCTCCTTCTTGCGCAGATGTTTGTTCGGAAACAGCCAACGTGGAATTAGCAAGTGAAAAAAGGAAGTCTCAATAAGAAACCGGTTGTTTCGCCTGACTTTGTGTTATTTTGTTCATGTGATTTCCATTTTTCTGACTTCCCAAGTGTGCAGTGATCACGTCAAAGCGATGCAGTCTTTATCGGCTGGAATCCTGAATATCGGTGACTTAGAAGAGGATTTTGTATGTTCCCAGATGTTTGCAGACGTTGGCAGATGCAGACGTTTGACGATCGCAATGTGTTCTATTGAAAGCTTCACTGTCCAAATGGTTGATATACCTGTATCTGTCTTATTCCTCGAGCCCTGAGATGACACTGGACTCCCCGACCAATTGAACCATTTGGAGTGAATTCTGCTCCGAAAGGCCTTCTGTGAAAGGGTCAAGGGCAGCCCCTGGATTTCTGCAGCCCCTCAGCTTTGATTTCAACCTCTTCACTCATTCACTCATTCACTCCGGGCCCAGGTGCTGAGCGATGACGAGAAGCGGCGGAGATATGTGCGGGTCGCCCGGGACCGGTGGATCGAAGCGCTGCGGCGCGGGGGGCAGTGGCGTTGGGTGACGTTGGGTGACGAGTGATGAATTTCAGGTCATAGACAGTCATAGACGCTACTTTTGGATGAATCAACTACAGTCGCCACTCAACCACAGAAAGATGTTTTGGCCATGTTTGGCCTTGTTTTTAAGGAGTGATTGAGAATAGGCCCTAGGCTACACCGAGCTTGAACCACTTGAAGATTCCAGGCTGAACTTGAGCATAGTTTTACAATGTTTTACAAGTCGCCCAAGGCTATCTTGAAACACTGGCAGTGTGGCAGTGTGGCACATTCACATACAGAAAACCATTCACTGGCGAAACTAGAGGAACGATGCTTCGTCACCTCTCGGCTTCGTTCCTTCATTCGCTTCGTTCCACGGGTTCCGCGGAGACGGACCACCGGGGGCTTCTCAGGATCACACCGGCGAGGAAGGGCTGGAGCACGTGGCCTGGGTGGCATTCGGTCTCACCGCGTGGTCCGGTGCGGTGGACTTGCTTAGCGGATCGCTGCGCTGAAAGGCAGCCAGGCAGCCAGGTAGCCCCCCAAAAAGATGTAAGAGAACAGGGCTTTTGTGGGAGAACAGGGCTTTCATGCATCCTTTGGTTCGTTTTTGTAAGCACTATAAGTTAGATACAGTTATATAGTAGTTGGAGGAGGTTCTTGGCTGGTTGAGACAACTTGGGTATGAATGGCACTTGATTTGGTGGCCATGTACAGTAATGAATGTCCTCCTAACAGCGCGCTCCCCACCTTTCCTCTAAACAGTGCTTCGTCGAGAACTTAAATGCCCTCACGGGGGAATTTGAGCCACGCAAAACGGCCATCGTTTTGTAACATTGGGACCGGCACCTTGTTTTACCATGGAAACTGCTTTCACACAATCTCGAACACATGTCACCTTCAATCTCTGGTTGAACACGTCACCTCTCACAAACTCTGGTTGAACATGTGACCATATGATAGGGGGATGGTACTGGGTGGATAAAATCCATGGGGTTTGACCCAAGACTATATCCGGGCGCCAGCCTCTGAGCTACCTCACAAGATCTAACAAGGGGGGTTGTCCCTTGAAATAATCCACCCAACTATAGGAAGTGGATATTTGTTTTGGGTGACATGATTTGAGGGTCAGTGCATGGAACTTATCCAGTACAGTAGGCATGTTTTGAATTTCATTGGATTTTTTTCCTACATGGTCCTCTTCCTGGTTCGATTAATATAAAAGAAACGAACAGATGGAATAGAAAAGAAGAAAGGGTCGAGTCGGGACCCGTCACAATCCAATCACAGAAGGTTAATGTATAGAAATCTTGACTAGATTTGGCAACGGGTGCACTTTGCGGTCGGTGGCATCATTGATTTTGATATGAAGAAAAGACAAGAGAAAAGAGCAGAAGAGCGAGAGAGAGAGAGAGAGAGAGCAGAGAGTTCTAGCTTCCGAGCGCCTGAGCTCCATTGATGTATAGATGTATAGACATGTCTAAGAAGACGTAACAGCAACGCTCCAAGACCATGCTCTCCCCCAAGGTGACGAGCACGCCTCCGAGCTGTTGTTCGGTACGTGTGTTGCACTCGAGCCGTCGAAAAGACGTCCACAATCCGCTCTGGCTTGGTTGCTTCGTTCGTCCTCCACAGTGTTTACTATCCAGCTGAAAAAACTGTACACAGGTTACTCCTGCAGGGCATTTGACCCTTACCCTCCCGCCCCAGTTTGACTGCAACTCTTCGAGTACAATGTTTGATGGATCAGACTCTTCTGAAACCGATGATAATGTTGCAAAAAAACAAAGTCATGCAAAGAGTCCACAAAACAATCCATTGAACAAAAATTGGCAAAGTTAACTCTCCTTGGTGGCCCTGCGGATGCTACGAAATGCTGTAAATATCACCTAATTGTTCGGCAAAACGCCACTTTCCCCAATAGCGTCGCTATTGGGATTGGTAGCGCAAACAAGTATCCCTTGATGACCCTTGGATCTAGTCCACCGCTACAGAGGCACAACTACGACAACATGTGTCAACAAGGATGTTTGTTTCATTTTGTTTCCACTTCTGAGCAGCACAGAACTGCACAAGGTATGCCTCAAAATGCCATGTTGGCCCCCTGATCCTCAAATGTGCCAGGACTCTTGGTTAACCAACGACTTATTGGTTCAAAGCACGACCGATGCGGCGCTCCAACGCTGCTCTCCGATTTGCTCTCCGCCCAGGAGGATGCGGGACAGGCCCGAGGGAGTCGAAAGGTCACCAGGAGTCACGTTCGACGGTGTGGGTTTTAGTCCCCAAGTGAGTGGATGTGACGACAGGGGCACTCCGACCTCCTTCCTTCCTCCGTTCGTTTTGCAGGCAGGCACCCCGTCCGAAGGTGACTGCTGGCAGTTGTGGGTTTCTTGATTTATAAGTGACCCTACCCAGTCATTGCAGAACCTTCAACCTCTTTAGGCATTGGTTTCCCACTCAAATCCAACAGGTGGAAAAGGGTTCAGCTCAGCCTTTGTCCGGCAAAACTGAGGGAGTCGGAAACTGATGGATCAAACGACCCATAGAAAATACGATATTTTTTGTTTTAGAATGTGTTGTTCAATTCATCCACACTCTATAATACTTTGCATATTATACAATTATATATATATATATATGGGATGTTGCGATGATTGACGAAGCAATCGATTTGTTTGGATAGTGGTGTTGCCAATTCACAGCCACTGTTGTCAGAGCAACGGCCGGATCAGCAAGCAACCTTCGTGTGTTGGATTTGATTTTTGTTGATGTGCATGAATGTTGTTCATGTTTGTGTCCACTCATGGCGTGTACAGTAAGTCGCACGTCATCGTCAGTCCTTTGCCAACCCGGGGTGTTCCCAGATTTGTCAAGCATTTGCCCATCTTCAGCAGGTTGATTTGCTGCCTGAAACATGATGCGCCCTATATTTGTATATATGGATCCACCTCCTGTTCGGTTTCAGTGCCACTCCCCAGGTCTTCGTCCCTGACATGCCACCAACCCCGATGTGGTCTTCGCCGTCCTGCGCCAGGATCTCTTTTCCCACCTGTTCGGGAAGGGCAGCGGCCGTGGAGCTAAACCAAGCCGGTGTGCTGCCAAGTGCTGGCCATCCTCTTCGTTGCTGTTGGGATGTGGCTGTAGGAAGATCTCTTCTTGGCCCTGGCTGGGTTGTGGTCTTCTACTTCCTTCTTCCATGGAAGTCATTGTGTGGAGTGTGGAGGTCTCCCTATTTGAACACACACACCGTTTGACCCAACCGCGGGTGGGCGCCTCACAGACGGGATGTTCTGCTAAGGCCGAAGACCTCTGATGTGGTGCGGCCCATCTGGGTGAGCCAGACGAAGATTAGAAGCTGGGTGGCCAACTGCTCCACCAGTGTCGAGCTTGTTTGGTAGTGAACGTTTCTATATAGATGGATCTTAAGTTTGCCATTTGGTTCGTGTCAATCAAAGGAAGGATGCTTGTTTTCTTTATTTATTAGCAGTATATATGGAACCTTTGATCATGATGGTCCTTTGCACAAAATATAGCCGTTTTCCACAAGCTTTGCAATGCTGGATCAATTACACGTTTGCTGCCATGTACCAGTGCCTTAGTGTGTTTCTTCTCCCGGATGGACGGGGAGCTGGTTCATGCGCACGAAATGTGCAACACCGGATCTGGGTTGCACATCATGATTGAAAAACGAATCGACTAGTCAGGTTTTGCAAGCGTTGCGCATCAGATCTGAAACAACCTCTGAGACATGGAAAACAAACCTCCCAACACATCCCAACATAGAGATAACAGGCATTAACAGGCCAACATGGGCGGTCTAACATAGACCCTCTTGGAGATCTGACCTGGTGACCTATTTAGAGGGTTGTTTGGTTCGGAACCTCTTAAAGACCTGCTTGAGGAGACCTGACTCTGGATACACCCGACAGTTGTGTGTAGGGTCCAGCTGTGGCTGACTGTGGGAAGGTGCTCACTCGGGGGCAACGCGATGCAAGAGTGAAGGAAGGGTATTCTCAGGGCCCTTGCTTCGCGTCGCCGTTCAGGTTGGGTTTGATGAGAGTTTTGTCTGAAAGTTCCCATGATCTAACGCCATAGCCATCCTCATCTCAGGCTTTACTACTCACTGGGTGCCCAAGTCCCACCGCGCTCCGACGTCCCCGGCTGCCTTTGTCTCCGTCAGCGCAGTGGCGCGTGTTCGGCACCTGCCAGGTGACCTTGGAAGAGCTCTACACGGGGATCACTCGCCAGCTGCCCATCCTGCGGAAGGCCAGGGGCCGAAAAAGATGAAAAAGACCCGAACAAGACACGGAGGGGGAGCGGGGCGGGGCGCGGCAGCGGGCAAGCGGAGCCTTTGGTCGCGGTATTTGGACACCCCCGATTGGGGAGCATTTTTGGTTTCATACGCCGACGAAAAGACACAGCTCAGTCAGCTGTTCGTTTTTGTCCATTTCGTTTGTTCGATATTTTTCGATTTTGAAGGTGTTAGAAATTGATTATACCAGATCATTATACCCATGATGGGTGTTTCATACATTACACCTTCGGTGTTTTATTGTTTTTTACTCAAATGATTTCGAACGGAATCAAGGCCCTCACGTCAGTGTTTCAGTCAAACCCATGTCATGGCCCAGACAATCCCAGCCGAGTCAACGATGTCAATGTGAACATATTAATGATTCATGGGTTTTCTTACAGGTTAGCATTCCCTAGGGCTCCAAGAAGTTCCTCAGAAGGTGTTTGGACCCCTCAAACCCACCCCAGTCCCACCTTCTGAGGAAGTACTTGGAGCTAGGGATCGGCAAACGTTGCCACACCGGCCTTTCCCAGGCCTCCTGGCCTTTCACTCGGGCCCCTTTCCTGCAGCTTGCACAGGTGGTGGATGAGTCGGGCCAGTCCTGCCGATGTGACGTTTGCGATGGTAAGGGCGTAGCCTTGCAGGCGGCGACAGGATCATTGAGCCTGTTTGGGATATTTTGGGGGGGAAGCATGGTTGTTGAATTGGAAAGGGTTTCTGGGGCAATTTGATCCAGTGGGAGCCAGTTACAGTCAGCAGATCGATACCCAAAATTATCACAAATCATCCAAAATCACTTGAACACCCCAGGAATCCCTAGCGCTTCTACGCGCGCTTCGCGTTTCGCCTGCGCAGCTTCTGGTGAGTCCTAGCTCCCCCCGTGCCCTCGTGGACGATGCAGGTCGTGCGGATGGGCCCCTTCGCGCAGAAGGTGGAGCACCGGCCCATTCCCGCGCCGTCGGCGGATCTGGGGAGCGGATAAGGGTTCGGATGAAGTGGAGCACCGGCAGCAGGAGTAACTCAGCCAATTGGTTTAGCCAATTGGTTTTTAGCCAATTGGTTTTTAACCAATTGGTTTAGCCAATTGGTTTTGGGTCGATTTGTTTCCCCCTTATAGGTTGGTTGGTTGGGGTGTTGTTGGGACTCTGCTTTAACGTATACATACACCCCGACTGCCACGTAAATACACCCCGGCTGTCCACGGATGAATTGTGTGGCCTGCAAAAGATTGAACAAGAACGACCAGCTGGAATGGCAGCCCTTTTTGTCTGTGAGATGGCGAAGTAGGGGTCCGGGTGTAAACTAAGCTCATCCGATGACCCAATCAGCGTATTTCGCACTGCGCGGAACCAGCATCGCCAGGTGCAGCAGACCTGCGAGAAGTGCCAAGGCACTGGGCAAGCCCTTAAAATGCGGAGCCAACGCGAGGCACGGTGCAGTCAGGGAGATGCATTCATTGCTCTCGTCGAAGAGATAGAGATTGGCCGATTTGCCATGCAGTTGGAACGCAGCGAAGCCAAGCGGCTACTATATATATATATTAATATATAGAAATGTACGGTGAAATAAACATACCGTAATTGAGTTTTGTTCCGTAGTGTGAGGTGGTACATCAGGCCGGCACCTTTGGTCTAAGAAAACAATAGAGAACAGTTGAAGACGTTTGATACCCCTTGCCTAGGTCAGACCTCCACGCTACAATCCTTTTTCACGCACCCATATCATCTCAAAAGAATTCTCCAAGTTTGCACGGACGGCACCGTATCTCGCGCACTCAAGAGGTGTTGGAGGTCTTTGTGGAAAAGGGTTCGCCCAATGGCCACAAGATCATCCTCCACGGCAAGGTGAGGAGTCAGTTGGTCGTGGCGAAGGTTCTTCTCGGATGTTCGTTGTTCCGGATGTTTCGGAGGAGATGAAGCCCAGCTCATTGGACTTTTGGGAGTCTGGGAGTCTTTTCTTAGAAACAGCATGAGATCCCATAGGATCACCGACTGTTTTTGGGGGCTCTTTTCTTTTGAAAGGCTCACCTTCATTCCCGTAGTCGGACTATGAATCATCTTAACTTGGGACCAGAAAACAGCCAAATGGGATTCGGATTGTATAATATATATATGGGATAAAGCATTGACTCTTGTTTTCAATCCATGTCATGTCCATTCACAGCACGACGAGGCCGATGAAGCGCCCGGCTGCGAGCCGGGTGACTTGGTCGTGGTGGTGCGCGAGCAGGCAGTGGATTTGCCTGATAAGTGGAGGGGAGTGAAGAAGATGGCGAAGTGGTGAAGCTATTTTTTTGGGGGAGAGTGGATGGCAGCTACTGGTATGTAGCATCATGTAGTAGCATCCATTCACCCAAACTAGCAGCACTGGTCTTTTAGGGTAGCGCATTTTGAGTATTGGTATGTATATCTGTATATTGGTCATGTTCATTTAGTGATGCACTATCCTGAAGCTGGCCCCGGGGTTGGGGCCAAAACGAAGGGGATTCATCCAAATAGACCCCGGTTGACCGGACCCGTCGTCCGACCGGAGCTGAGCGGAGGGACGTAGATTCCCCCATCGGATTGTAAGAGGGATGGGGGCCTGGATTGTGCATCTATCTCTCAACTCAACGCCTTTTTCCCCGGATTGTCTCAGAACGAACTGTTGATAAGATGTCTTCATGTTCCGAATGAGGGCAGGGAGGACGATTTGCGGACTTCTTCGTGTTGGGTTTGGCCGGACATTGCGCTCCACAAAACATCAGCGGCCATCAAAGTCACTATCCCACAAGCATAACACATTCATGGCATGGTGTCGAACCCTTCTCATGATGCGGATCCCCATTTTTTTGCACTTCTTTCAACAGTTGGGGTCCATCAAGATGTTTGTTGTTTGTGTAAATATTTGTTGTTGTTGTCTCCCAATCCAATTGCAATTTCTGATCACACAATATCCGACAACACATGCGCCTTTTCCCGATTCGCGCGCCGCGTTTCGGCGCGCGTGATGAGACGCAACACCACCAGGACCACCCCAAGTTCATGAGGAAGGAGGCTTGGCAACAGAAGCGGCCTTGGAAGGAGGGCTCCGAGGCCTTGGCTCTCCGGGAGGAGCATGAACATGGATGTGGTTGGAAACATATCTGAAGTTTGAACGGAATGTTTGAAGATGGGCACAGTACATTTTCTGAGGTTATGTTCCAATTGTTACTGTAGCATATTTGAGTGCTCCAGATAGGTTCTCAAGAAAAAATGTTTGGCCACTGCGTGTGATCGAGTTTAGAGGCCCCAACTGGTGTTTGATGTTGGATCCATAAGTCCATATATAGATGATGTAGATGTGGTTCATGTTGTTCTTTGGGTGACACCTGAGTCTTAGACCCGAGCTCAGTCTCAGTGTGTCGTTCGTGTTCACTTCGAACGGCGGGACTCATGCATTCTCTGGTTAGTGCAGGTCACCATTTGGGACATCCTCATGGGAATGCAGTCAATGTGGAGTGTTGATTGATGAACCACCCACATGGAGATGTAACATATTGTATATATATTTGTTTTAAATATATAACAATATGTTTTGCTAATCAAGACTCCCTAGCTCGGGATCCACTGCCACCTTCTCAGAAGCTAGGTACGGACCCTCCCAGGCTATGACCAAGGACGAACACATTACCCTTTCAGAGGGTGGCAGTGGATCCATCTACACGTCCTGGGCCGAAGCCAAGTGGGAAGCTCCGTGCTGAAGAGGTCAGTCTGTGGATGCCAGACATCTGGAAATTTCACCCCAAACCGACCAAACACTGTAAATGAGGTGTTGTGTTTGTTGTTGCTTTTTGAACATGGGTTTCCAATGTGTCTGTGTTTCCTGGATTTGCAGGTAGTACATGACTATTTGCAACAGTTCGAGACCGCCAGGCTGATCTCTACCTTTCAGTGGACCTTACACTTGCGGAGGCTCTCACTGGCTTCAGGCGCGTAAGAACCTGAACTCGCGATCGATGTGTCGTTCAAGAGGGTCCCCGATTGATTCAACGTGTGTGTTCACCGTAGTAGCTCCAAGAGACCAACCACGGTTTCTGTATGTAAGTCAAAATACGGTATGTGTTGGAAGCATATGTCAATACAGCTTTGGGCAGGTATCAATAGTCATTTGTATACTGAATACTATATATTGTATACGTTTGATCATCGAAAGGGGATACGCTGATACGGTTTGTGTCCGCCCGACGACTAGGCTGGTCGTCCACCACTTGGATGATCGGCGACTTGGACAATGACCCAAGTCGTCACTACGGATGGGCGGGTCAGAGGACAGAGTTGGAGAGGACGTCTCAGAGTCAGAGAGTCAGTGGGATTCAGAAGATCTGAAGTGTTATGTGGGACCCTAGAGTCTATATCCCAAAAACCTGCTGGTGTTCTTGGGTCATGTGTCCACACTAGGGGTTCTTACGGTAAGAGTTAAGGACGGGTGTTTGATCGGAGGTGCTTGTGGCCGCTGCTATTTGCATTAAATTCATTCACCTCGAGATCTTCGAAGTGCATTTCGACTGCGCAGGCTTGCAGAATCTGCTGGGCCCGAGCGGGACTTTTCGTGACAGGTGCAGGAGATCGGGGTGGTTTTACGTCGATGTGCAGCTTTCGTGGCAGGTGCAGTACTTTTGGACGTGGTGGTGGTCTTAGTTCCTGTTCTTTGCAGTGGAGAAAAGGTGCGTAGGGCCAATGAGTCCGAGTCATTGGCCTACTGCTACTCATTGTTGAACATCCCTGTTTTGCCTGAGGTGACTGGTCCAGGACCGCAGCAGCAATATATGTGAGGGTTGGCAATCTAAAACTTGTGGCTTGAGGGTTTGTTTTGGGAGGCACCATGCTCGTGATTGGTGTACGGCTGAACTTTATATTAAGAAAACAGGTTTTTGGGGGTAGAGTCTAGAATATTTCTTAATTGAGGCATCAAGGATAAGAAATACGCGACCAAAATTAGAGTCTAGATTGTATGTTCTTAATTTTGGGTCTTCCACAGAAACACACACACAGCCACACACACACACACACTACGGGCGATGGAGCAAGCCGACACTATAGGTGTTGAACTGTCCTTTGAACTGTGTGCCAATTTTGCTCGAGTTCAGGGAAAAGGAATTTCTTTTGCCCTCCAGGTTTGCTGGCAAGTTCAATTCAACACCTTTATATTTCCAATTGGGTGACAAAACGCACGTGGAATTGTGCTGCAACTTGCTTGTGGAATTGGCAACGAATGAAAAACTGTGCACGGAACTGCTTTTAAAAGCTGGGGGGGCCTTCACACAGTCTGAAACAGGTCTGAACCAGGTCTGAAACACATCAGATTTGACAGGAGAGCGGCTGGCGGTCCATATCTTTGCCAATTCCATGCAAATTGCACTACAATTCCACGCGCGTTTTGTCACCCAATTGGAAATCGAAAGGCGCTGAATTGAACTTACCAGCGAGCCTGGGATGAGAGCTGTGCTTTTTGGGGCTTTGTTGTTTATTGCGACAGCTGTTGGCTAGCTCCGGAAATTGGTTGACCGCATATCAATGGCTGTTTCCTGGAAGCACCTGGCGCGACCAGGGATTTAGTTGCTTTGGTTAGGTTTGTGGTCGGATTATCGGTTGGGTGCAGCTTAAGTTTTACGTACTTGCTGTGGTTGGCCCCATGGGCTGGGTGCGAGCAGGGATTTAGCTGCTGCGGTTGGTTCCGTACCTGCCTTGCTGCTCAGGATTTACACGCTGTAGGTGCGACCAGGGATTTGTCAGCTTCATCTCTAACTGTGCGCAGACCTTCTTTTCTAAACCTGGCTCTCATCCCAGATTTGCTGGTAAGTTCAATTCAGCGCCTTTAGGTTTCCAATTGTGTTTCAGACCTGATTCAGACCTGTTTCAGACTGTGTGAAAGCACCCCCAGCTTTAAAAAAGAACTTCTGGAACAACTGGCAGGGAGGGTGCCCGTTTCAGAGGTCTGACAAATGTCTGAAAAGGCCCTTGGTTCCTCCATCCATCAGGATCAACAATTTCATGCAAGTCCCCAGTGTGTTGCAGGCTGAAAAACGCGCTTTGTGAAAAACCCTTTGCCAGGGCCGCATTTTTCCGGACGTAGCTTCGAAGCAATACCCTCTACTGAACGAGGCCTGAACCGGGTCTGAATCAGGCCCGAAACATTGGTGCATTTGTTGGGGTGGGCTGTTCTCCAAAAATCTCCACAAGACCACTGAGCAGATTTCCAATGTTGTGTGGTTTGGAGCGGGCCTTTGGGGCCTTTGGACAAGTTAATCAATGTTCGAAAAGTTTGCAACCGCCCTTTGTGTTTTCACAGGTTTCGCCAGTGCCGTATTTTTCCGTACGTAGCTTCGAAGCGATACCCTCTACTGAACGGGGCCTGAACCCGGTCTGAATCAGGCCTGAAACATTGGTGCATTTGTTGGGGTGGGTTGTCCTCCAACAAATCTCCAACAGACCACTGAGCAGATTTCCAGTTTTGTGTGCAAGCCACGTCCAGTGGAGCGCGTGTGCTGGTTGGGGTGTAGGATCAGGATATATGAAAACTTCCGTAAGGTGAGTTAATTTGCACGAATGCTCCGCCGGCCACTGGCTCCATTTAGCTTCGAGGCGGTTCATGGCCTTGTGCGCCAAGTGTCACCGGACCGCCCCGTCGACCGGTGACACCTGGTGTCTTGGTTGCAGCGGCTGGGAGGCCCTGGGCTCCGAGTTGAGCTTCACCTGGGGTCATCCAGGCTTGAGGGCCATCGCTACTGACATTGTGGTCAGTGCGGTCCGGCAGGTGCGAGCCTTGAGGGTGACTAAGGTCTTGGGACCTCAACCTCAGGCTGCACGCCCACAGGGGAGGGCCCCAGCCGCTGAGCCACCCTCTCTTCCGGCTGGGGGAAACCCCGAGCCTGGAGGAGAGAGAGCTCCGCTTCCTCGGTCGCCCCGAGCGGAGGCGGCCCCAGCAGAGGAGGACAAGAAGAACAAGGAGGCTGCCGACGAGAGCTCCTACGAGCAAGAGGACGAGGAGTCCGAGGCGGTCTTCGACGCCACCGTCGTGAAGCACCCAAGCCAGGTGATCACTAAGCAGGGGCTGTCCGCTAAGGCCGCGCCTCCGGCTAGGAGATCAGCTGATCGTCACGAGGAGGTTAAAGCTGAGGAGGAGGCTGCTGAGGAACCTTTGGCTGGTAAGGGCACCGAGCCGGAGGCCGTGGAGGGTGCTTCAAGCGCCCGTGGTTCGAGGGACGTTGATAGGGACCGCCATCGACATCGGCGTGAACCTGGACACCATCGAGGATCGAAGAG